GCTATACTTTTTGATAGCCGGGCACCATCAGCTTTCTTCGCCACATTTGCTTATGCACCCCTTTGTCTTCAGTGATCCGTTCAACACCTCGTTATCACACAGGTTGATATGTTGTTCCATGTGGGCTTTGCTGCTTCTGAGTTAGATGGCTGGCCTCAGTTCTTTAAGGTAGCGATGCCTTGTACCCCGCTTCTTTCTGTGCGTAGCCTCCCCATTCACCAGGCTGGTTTCTTTACCTGGTACTTTGGACCTGTTCTCCGCCTGATGCTTTTGGCAAGGTGTAAGGTGCCCTAGGGGAAGAGTGGGTTACGTGTTGGGCTGCTAACTGCAAAGTTAGCAGTTCCAATCCACAGCTGCTCCCTGGGAGAAAGAAGGAACTTCCTGCCAAATGGGGCAGTTCTACCCCCTCCTCTCGGGCTGCTCTGCGTCGAGATTGACTCAGAACAGCAGTGAGTTAGAGCAAGTGTGTTATACGCCTCATGGTCCATACCGTCTGTAAGCCTCAGCTCCTGCTGTGATTTGCCTGATTCTCTTGGTATTAACCCACTTCCGATGACTAAGATAGAGAAAACTGCTTGTTCCAATGGTCTCCTTTGTAGGCAGAGAGTTTTGCAGCAAACTCTCTCAAAAGCCATGGGTCAGCCCCTAGATTGGATGCTCTGGATCAGTAGGCTACCCCTGAGCCAGTCAGCTGGGAGAAGGGAGGTCACAGACCACTTGCTCCGTCTCATAGTTGTGTGGGCTGCTGGTGCGCGCTAGCTAGTCGGAATGCACTCAGCGGCGAGCAACAACGGTTCCTTTCACGGGGCTGAGGTGCTTTTTCGGAAAGAACAAGGCACTTAGATAAGTAGCTGCTGACATTGGTTCTCTTGGCCTTTTTCGTGTGTTCTCAACAGGTTCTCTGTGATGGGACCATGTAGCTCAGGGCTCAGGGCTGGGACATGACCAGTGGGGCCACCACTCAAGCTTCAGACACCAGCATTCCAGGCAGAAAAGGGAAGCACTAATGCCATTCCATGGTAACCTTGTGGTTTTCAACATCTCAGTCTCATTCCTCCAGAAACTTATGTCTCATTTGCTGTCTCAGAGAACTTATGTCTCATAGAACTGTGTCTCAAGAACTATGGTTCTTGCAAGCATCGAACCAAACCCATTGCCATCAGGTTGATGCCAACTCATAATGCCCCTATAGAAATAGACTTGCCAGCCTGCTTTGTGGGAAGCAGCAGGAAAGAAGAGTTGGTAACGGTGGGCATTAAATCAGTCATCTGATAGTGCCCGCCATTGGGCTTCTCAAACATGTTAAAGCTGCAGACACCTGCCTTCGGACAACATCTTGTGTGGACGTGCATTGGGAGAAGCTGTTGGAAGTGGGGTTGCGATGGATACAGTGAAGATGAGACTGAGCTTTCTGTGGTCAGCACCCCATCATCAAGTAGTAAATATTTCCTGCTCTTCAGTTGTCCATCATCCATATGCTATATAATTTGCACCCATGTCTTTTATTTTGGAGACCCCCCCACACGCATGTAGACGTGGAAGGTAATTCTCATTTCTAATTAGGAAGCCCAAGACTTAGATTCTTCTTCTCTAAGTTCCACCAAGTAGGCTTTCCTTCCTGGATCTTTGAATTGTGTGACACTGCTGTGTCTGGGGAGGGGCCTGGTGGCGAAGTGGTGGCTCCTTAGGTGGCTAACTGCAAGGTCAGCCATTGGGAACCCCTAGCCACTCCTTGGGGAAAAGGTGGAGCAGCTTTCTACTCCCATCCAGAGTTCCAGTCTCAGAAACCCACAGGGCAGTTCTACCCTGTCCTGTTTGGTCACTATGAGTTGGCATCAACTCCATGGAGGTGAGTTTGGGTTTTGGGGTTTGGGTCCCGCTGGGGGCGGTTTTCCTCTTAACCACTGTGCCACACGCACCTGCCGGTGCCTGCTCTGTGGCCTGTGGTGTGATTCCAGTAGCCCAACTCTCTCACTTCCCATGACCAGAACCCAGTCCTATGGTTTCCCATTGATTCTGTGAGCCTTGAGTCTCGCCAGTGCCTTGCCTTTTTTGCTGAAGACTGGGTCAGTTTCTCTTGCTTTTAGCCCCAAACCATGGGTGATACAAGGCTAATGCAACTAAAGCTTCAGAGGCAATTCTGCAGAACTTCTAGCATAGCAAGGGACATAGTTTAAAATCTGCTGCCTCAGGATAAATCTCTTGCAATGGAATCAAGGGGCAAAAGTACAGATATTTTAAAATGTCTTGATCATTGTTGTCCAAGATTACCCCAAAGTGTTGTGTAAAGTTATCTCACCACAAGCATTGGTATTATTGGTGTTTTAATTTTTGCTTGTATCATGATAAGAAATCAGCACACATTATCTATTTTATTTTGTCCCTTCTGGAACATAGGAAATGAACCCATTTTACTTCTGCTAGCTTATAATTACATTTCTATTTGTAGACATGATTCGTGTATTCAAGCTTTAATTTTTCTTTTAAAGATAAGGACTTTGTATAACTTAGATATTCATTCTTTGAATGCCAACTGCAAACATTTTTCCTAGTCTGTTTCCTTTTGATCTTATTATTTTGTATGGAAGCTCCACATTTTATGTAGTAAAGTCTACTCATTTTTTCTTTGTGATTTCTTCTTTTGCCTCAATGCTTTAAAAGTTACCATTCCTCCAAAGATCTGATAGTGAATTCAATTTCCTGCCCATTTTTAGAAAATGTGGTTTTTATATATTTAAGGCCTCAATCCACAGGAGATACATTTTTGTATATGGTATAAAGATGCGAATCTAAATGATCATGCTGCCTTTTAGTTTCATGTGCCCTTGAGAATAATCGGGCCTCTCGTTTTCTTTTCTCTTTCTTTGTTTTGGGTTTCAGTAATGCAAAGAAAATTGTCCAGGGAGCCTGGGGCTTGTTATTGAGAGAAATATGAATAAAATGGACAGAGAGAGACCAAAATCTTAGACAACTGAGAGAGCAACAGAGAGGGCGACGACGGAGACAGAGACAGAGGGCCTGAAAGAGAAACCAAGATTAGAGTCTCAGGGGCGTGAAGCCAAGGGAGGGGTTTGTGTGCCTCAGGCGGGGACGGCCTGGTGGCCACACATCACTGACAGTCTGAGGTGAGGTCATGTGGCAGCCATGAAGGAGGTTCCTCACACGGCTGTCCACATCAGCTTGGGCCAGTTCCCTGCCCCAAAGAGGCCTTGGATGTCATTTGGGGACTCCGGCTCCTCCTCATGCTCCAGTTGGCACTAGAGCTGGGGGACCTCACACACACACACACACACACACACACACACACACACACACACACACGACTCTTCTTTCTACATATACTCCACACTCATACACACGACTTCTCCTTCCTTCCCTCTGGTCTGGCTGTCGGTAGGCCTTCACGGAGGGCGATCACCAGATGAGGCGGTGTAGTCCAGACATCTCCGTCTGAGCCTGCAGTCCCATTCCTCCATCCCTTATCACGTGCAGCTCCACTCTACGTCTGAGAACGGAAGTCCGACAAATCTCTCACAGGGCCCCTGGCAGATGCTTTCCTCACTGTCATCGGCCGTCCTTGAGGCGAGGAGCACTGGGCATGGGGTGTGACGAGATGGGGAGTCGCAGTTTTTGAACACCTGCTATGAGTTAGGCCTTAAAGTAGGAACTCAATGCAATTACCTTGTTTCATTCTCACAATGCCCTTTGGAGGTATTATCCTTACAGAGGGGCAAAATGTGCTTGCAAATAAAAGGCAGATCTGGGCTTTGAACCCTGGTCCTGTTGCCTTCCAAATCTTGTCATTCTTTCCCCGGCATCAAGACAGTGGGCTTATTCTACATCCCCACTGGCGATGATCATCTCTGGAATGCTCCCCACTTTTTCTCCCCAACCAAATGCCATCTTCCCAGCGCTCCAGCCGACAGGGGAGCTTTCTTACTATCTCCTGCAGCTCAGCCTCCATTTGGCACGAGGCCTTACTGGTAATGCTGTCTTCTACTCTAAATATTGTGGCATTTTTGTCTTGTCAACTGAGTTGCACCCTGGCGTTGTGTATATTCTTCCTTCAGAGTCCCTCTATTGCAGTGGCTCTCAAGCTTTCTAATGCCCGCAACCCTTGAAGACAGTTCATGTTGTGGTGACCCCCCCACCCATAACATTATTTTCGTTGCCCCTTCATCACTGTTGTTTTGCTCCTGTGATGAATTGGGCGACCCCTGTGAAAGGGTCGTTCGACCCCCAGAGGGGGCTCAACCCACAGGTTGAGAACCGCTGTTCTATCGCATCCCCCAATGCAGCCTAATGGGTGGGTCGTTCGTTCACTGGCACAGGTGAATGAACGTTTTTGGAACCCCATGTATGGCCAGGCTCTGAGCTGGGAACTGCAAATGTAAAAGAATCGGTATTTTCAAAAAACCGCGGCTTAATGGCCACGTGTTGTTGGTCGGTGCCTCTCCGCAGGTTCCGTCCGACCCGCAGGGGCCCAGTGGACAGTCCCGCCAGCCTCCCCATTGCTGTGGCCACCGATGTTCCAGCCACTGTGTCAATCCAGCTCGTCTGCTTTACCAAGCAGGATGTCCTTTTGTCCCTAAGAGGTATTGTTAGGTTTCTCGGGTGGAAATACCTCGGTCCTTGGCTTCGTGCAAGAAAGAATTCACTCCGAAGCCTGGTTTGTGACCCAAGTGAGTGTTATAAAGGACAGAAGACGGTTCCGGTTTTACACAGGTGCCCTCAGGGCACTTCTCACCCGCGCATGGAAAACTGAGGACAGAGAAGTGTCGCAGCCTGGGAAGGGGGAGCAGCTGGGAAGGAAGGGGGCTTCGGATCCTGGCTTTTCCGGCCCGTTGGGAGGTGTGGTGAACGGTCCTGGTTGACCCTGTTGGCTGAATTAAGCTCACCTGGCTCAGATTGGGGCCCACCCAGATGTGCCCCTCACCTCGGTGTACCGCCCCTTCCTGCCTGGGAGCCTGAATTTGGAGCATGCCCAGTAGACACCCTGGTCCCTATTCTGGCCACCTGACAGTATTTACTAAATGTTTGTCAAAAAGTATTCTCCAGCTCCGGTCCTGGCTGTGTGACGACTCAGGCACTGGTGTGGTTCAGCCACAGACAGGAGTGTGGCAAGCAGGGTTCTCTTCCAGATTCCTGTGCCCAGTCTCCATCGCGCACGAACACCTGTGCCAAGACCAGATGGCACGGACTTGCTTCTCCTCACTTGATACTTTCAGACCTAGACCTTGGGGGACTGTGATTGGTCTACATCTCCAATGAGGAGCACCCAAGGGATGATAGCATTTATCTTGCCTTGAGGTCCGACAGCCCTGAGATCAAAAACAGCTTCCCCTTATGTGATCCTTTCCCCTCCCGAGCCGTAGGCACCTTACCTGTCAAAGTAGGATGTTAATAGTACCCGTCTGTCTCATGTGGCTTAATAGGCAGTACACACCAGACAATCACCAGTTAGAAAAACACAGACGATGATACTTGTAATGAGAGCTTCTAAACCCTCAAAGTGTGACTCTCGGCTCCTCTACGGCCTTCCCTGATTTTCATTTCTTTTCATCCCTGGTTAATTAGCACACAGCCTATACTTCTTGAAAGCCAAAGGGGGCTGATATGTATATTTTGGACATGCAACAATTTGTCTGCATTTGTAGAAACTCACAATCATAATTATATTTAATGTTGCAAAAACAAATGGTGTTCTGAAATAACTCAAGGTAAGTTATGTGTAGAAAATGATTTGTACATTCATTTAAAAATATTTTAGTTATTAATTTTTTTCAAGTAGGTAAGCTATTTAAAAAGGTACCACCCTCATTCCACCCTCCTGCTATTGTTGTTATTTCCATCTGAAATGCCTACAGAGGCTCAGAGTGGTTTTACTGACCTGCTCCTCAGACATTCAGTGGGTCAGTAGTGAGGATGGGACTTGAAGTCATCTTAATTCAAAAGCCATGCCCCTGATACCACGGAGTTCAAGAAGGAAGAAAATGTTTTGAAATAGATGTTGGTAGCAATTGTATAATACTGCTTGGTGTGAGTGAATGATGGAATGGTATGATTTCTAGATTAGCTCCTAATAAAATGGTTTGGGGATGGGCTGGGGAAAGCCATGTTCTTCCTATTATACCAATCTAATCTATCCTTGGAAGAAGTACGGCCAGAGTACTCCTTCGAGGCAACAATGGTGAGACTTCATTTTGCATACTTTGGACATGTCAGGAGAGGCATGTCCCAGTTGCACATGGTCCCCGTAGCACCATAAAACCACCAAACCAGACCCACTACCATAGAATCAATTCCAACTCATAGTGACGCTACACAGGGTTCTCGAGACCTTAAATAGCAGAGGAGCAGATAGCCTCATCTATCTCCCAAGGAGCAGCTGGTAGGTTTAAACTGCCAACCTTGTAGTTAGCAGGCCAACACTTAACCACTGCACCACCGGGCATTTTGAATATTTCTTGCGAAATTGCTAGACATGAGTTTCTTGCGTTTGACTCCAGGCTTATTAACTTAGAAACTCAGGAGGTGGGTTCCCAGAAATCTGTACTGTAACCAGGTCTCTAAGTGACTCTGATTCATGCTGACAGTTGAGCAATACTTGGTTTGGGGGAGAGAATGGAGTCATCTTGCCAACACCAGGGGAAACCCTACTAGACATGGAAGCCATACAAAACAGGGCTGAGAGCTGTAGAGAATAAGAGTCCTGAAGTCAACATTTGAGTCATGTAGTCTATTCATGCTCAAAATTAGGTCTACTGCTGGATCGTAACTTAGTTACATGAAAAAATAATTTTGAAACATTTTCAATTTGAGTTGTTTTCCTGTCATTGACAAATAAACCCTGACAATCAAGAGCTCTACTTATTTCCATTCCTTATTTTTTAGGGAGAGAGTTTCCTTAGAATAGTGGTTCTCAAAATGTGGACCCTAGATCACTAGCAGCTGCAGCAGCAGCAGTATCACCCTCACCTGGGAGTTTAAAAAAAATGTATGCTCAGACCCTATCCGACTTGGGAGAAAGACTTCCGGAGAAATCCACAACTTGTGCAAATCCACAGGGGCAGTTCTACTCTGTCCTACTGGGTCGCTGTGAGTCGGAATTGACTTGTAGTCAGGGAGCAGTAGTGATTTTATCAGAGACTTCCTGAATTAGGATTTGGGAGGATGCAATCTGCATACCAATATGGTCACCAAATGACTCTGATGACCACTAACATTGGAAAAGCCACTAGAGATTTCTGTCTGGCCTCTCTCCCACCCACCTCTCACACACATGGGCTCCGGGAGTGGGTTGAAAGAATGATCGGAATATGTCCAGTTGAACTCCTATTCTCTTTGAATAAAGGGTCAGCTACTTTACGTTCTTCTAGTCCAGACATTTGAGGAGCCCTGGTGGCATGGTGGTTACACGCTGGGTTGCTAAGTGCAAGGTCAGTAGGTCAAAAGCACCCACCTCTCTGTGGGAGAAAGAGAAAGCTTTCTCTTCCTGTAAAGAGCGCCAGTCGCAGTGTACCTTTGGTGGAGACAGATCCCCACACAATGAAGCCTGCAGTAATAACTGGGTCAGTTCATTCTGGAGAAGCGCGTGAGTTTATGTGGCTGTTCCGTTCCTGGGATGGTTGACCTTGGTTCTTACTTCTCAACCTTGACAGAAGTTGTAGATAGTACACGCTATCCTTGGAAAGCATGCAAAGCCGCATGGTGGGGCTGTGGCAAAATCCACGACTGAAAATGTGGCCACTTCAGGGGAGTGTGAAAAACCACGAGGAAAATGACCATTAAGAGGAGTCCTCAGAACCAAAAGAGGAGTCCTGAAACCAGAAAAAAAAAGAAGAGCGAGTATGATCACTGAGAGGGAGTGCGTACGTGCACCACACACACGTGATAATCATCCTACCCTCTGACCTGCAAGAGAGCACCTGAAAGAGCGGGTGGCCTGCCCTCAGTCTGCTATTTGTCCCCTCCTTTCTCCACTGGCTGGGGGTGGGGTGGGGTGGGTTGGTGTGGTTGAGGTTATTGGTTGATCTTAGTGGCTGAGTGTAGGCGTGTGATGTGTGATGCAATGTCCCTGGTGCCTAGTGTAGGTGTGCCCAGGTTGACCTCCACTTTGGCCTAGGTGACTTTAGTCTGCATAGGCCCAGTTTTGGATTGTCCCCATAGGTGTCTAATGTGTGCCTGATTTCTTGGCAACCCCTTTATGGTGGCATGGCCAGCTAATTTCCATTTAGCGTAGGCGTTTGGTGACGACAACTCCCTTTATTCCTACCTGTCGTGGCAATCACCCTGAAGCCATCTCGTCCAATATAGTCCTCATCGGTAAGAAAGCTGACATTTTCTTCTCCATCTGTTGACTTCCTAGGTCCCATTGTTTAGAACCTGGGTGAGGAAGACAAATGTTATTTATTAGAGCATGCCCCTCCTTACTGCCTCATCACTGACTAATAATATAAGAGGGCAGTTGGAGCAGAGAATCTCTCAGGGCCCCTTTTAGATCTAACATTCTAGGCCAATGGCTCACCCTCTCTCTCTCTCCAGGGCCGCTGTGTACCCTGTGAATAAAACCTTGTTTGTTCTCACCAGACCCCTGGGTGTTTTGCCTACTGGAGACAGAAGCATTCCTTGCCCCACGGGACACAGGAGGGGAGATTACAATCACAAAGCATTTCCTTTCAGTTCTCTCCTGAAACAGTGTAATTCAGGGGTGGGGGCCCTGGCCTGCAAACCAGTGCATTTAAAAAAAGCTTCCTAGGGACTGTATACTTCTTTATAATCTGGTTCTGCCAGCTGCCTCCCCTAAATCCAGAGGGCTGCATTTGAAACCGTGCTTTCCTCTCCTGGAGGCTGGGGATATGTTAGCCTATCCTGTGAAGGAGGGAGCCCGGTAGGCGCAGAGGTGAAGAGTGGGGCTGTGATCCACAGGTTAGCAGTTTGTAAACCAATCGGGGCTCCATAGGAGAAAGATGGGGAGTTGTACTCCTGTCAAGAGTTACAGCCTTAGAAACCTACGGGGGCCATTTTACCCAGACCGATGGAGTCACTATGAGTTGGCATCGGCCTGATGGCAGTCAATTTGTTTGTTGTGGGTGATGGAAGATAGGACTTCCTTCTTCTCAGTTCTACTTATTCTCTTTTGGTCTGCTCTGAGTTCTTACGTGTGTGACTTAGGTTTACATCAGTTTGACATTGCACAATTTATACATATTTGCTTCCACTCATCATTTCAGTCCTCTGAGGCTCCCACTTCCTCTCTGCGTTTCCTGTTTTGCCATTCCTCCCCCTTTCCTAATCCTCGGACCCTTGTCCTTGGGGAGATGCTGCCCTTGGGATCTTCGTTGGCTGTAGGATGTAGATTGTTCTAACACAGGGGTGAGTTCAGTCCCATACCTAAAAGTGACTAAGGACCGTAGTCTGGGAGGGAGGGGTGGGTGTTGGTCAATCTCTAGCCCATCAGTAGGCCTGGTCTCTTTTGCGATTTAGGGTTTGGTTGCACATTTTTCTCCCACTCTATCCAGGAACTTCCAGCACGATGCTTCCCAGAGCAGCTGGTACTAGGAGCTGGGCACCACCAGTTTGAGTTATGGAGACGGCTGTGTGGCCCGCGAGTCCAGCAGACTGAGTGCTTCCATGCGTCTTTCCCTCTCCATCACTCTTCCTTCCTCTGCATGGGGAGAGACGGACAGCAGCGCTTTAGATGGCTGCTCACAGGCTGTGAAGACCCCAGGCGCTACTCACCAGTGTAGGATACAGAACAGTGTCAACATATGACAATTGACATTGATATCCCTCAAGACTTGCAAAAATTTAAATCAGCCACCCGATGAAGGTCTTGATGAAGGGCAAGAATGAAGGAAAGATCCATTTAGAACTCTGTGAACCAGGCCTGGGTGCTACAGAGAGGTCAGTTTTGGAGGTTCAGCCTCTTTCAGTGCACTTCTCTTCTGAATGCCATTTCAGGGAAGAGAGAGCAACCATCCTGGTTCAACCTGAGTGAGCTAGGGAACCAGAGGTATTTGTCGACATTGACCTCAGTTCTGAGCCTTCTTGTAAACAGTTCACCCTTCCTCCCAGATCATCGAACTTTTCTTTATTTTTACCTAATCAGATCATGGACGTACAACTCTGGTCTTACTATTCCTCCATGTCATTAAGAAAAGCTTCACATGATGCCCCTCACTGGCCCATGGCCCTGCGGGGCACAGCACCTGAGACACAGTGTGGGAATTGCGCCCGATCTGATCCTGCCACACCGAGGCAAAACATTACAGGGGTGCAACAGAACAGCAAGGGAATGGAGCAGCGAGGTCCCCAGGGAATGCTGAAGGTGGACTTTGGGGCCAGGGCGTGGTGCCCCAACAGACTGGACTGGAAAACATTCCTAAAGGCCAACAAGCAATTCTTGAACTAACTACAAGCTTTTCTTTCTTGTTGTGTTTTGTTCTTTGTCAGTGGTTTATTGTTGTTGTTTTGTTGTATATTGTTGCTTGGTTTTTCTCTGTCTTGTTTTTGTGCATGTTATTATCTAAGCAGGTCTGTCTAAATAAGATAGGCTGGATGAACAATCTGGAGGAGAAAACCATGGGACTGACAGTTCCGGGGGGACATAGGATAGGGGAAGGTAGGGGGAAAGGAAGTGGTGTTAACAAACCCAGGGACAAGGGAACAACAAATGATCCAAATTGGTGGTGAGGTGGGTGTGGGAG